CAGTTTGCTATGATCTGATTTTCTATCAATGCATTATTAGGCTATGGAATACTGTATAATTTCACTACCGTATACTAATAACTTATTCCATAAGATTGTAAAAAATCAAAAACTACAATGAAAATCTTTTTTTAATTTGCATTTCTTTTTCACCTTTTTTTCATTTTCGAAGCCTTTTCTGCAGAAAAGCGTCTCGGGTTCTTTCCTTGAGACAGATAACGGCCTCTCCTTCAGTCTTAAAAAAGCTCTGAAAAGAGAACCCGCATGAATCTTAATATCGAAGTCCTATTGATTCTCCCAACCATTTCTCAGCCGAAACTCTTTTCGGATTTGATTACGGATCTGCATTTGCGGAGGAAGAAGTCGCTGATTGATCATTGCAGGAAGAGATGGTTTCTCATTCTCGAAAGAAAGATCTTTTAACTTTTATAGAGAAGAGATTATTTCCTTGGGTGTCACTTCAATTCCAACATTTCAATTTCTACGCATTTGAAAATCTTTTCCTAGCAAGATATTTTTAGATATAGGGCACCCTCGTTTAACTGTCAACTGATAAATTACCACGTTCATACTTGGTCGTAGAAATTGAGAATTTAGTCAGTTTTAATTTCAACAATTAATTTTTTCAGTGTTTTTCATATTTTGGTTGTCAAGTTTATTAGATACAACTAACCCTCGCTAAAGCGCTACTTATACATTTTTGTAATTTGCATAGAATTTAGTGATAACTCTACTGTCATTTTTGACTCACTTTGGGCTAATTAGACGGGGACCTGCAGTTTAACGGGAATTCCGAACCACAATTAACAAATATCCATAACAAACCAAACTCCTAAAAGTCCTTCCAGAAGGCATTGCCCTTCTTCTTCAGGTCACAGAGCCAAGTCAGACTCCGTCGCAACTGTCCCCCCTTTTCTAATTAAATGAGACCACACAGGTTCGTGGGCAGGTTTAGATTCTAGATGTTGGTGTCTACCATGTGCGATAAGGAAAAAAATTAAAAATGCTAGGAATATTTTAATTAATTAGGCTACATCACATATTGAAACTTAAATTAATATTTTTTTTTGTAAATTACAAGTATAAAATACAGAAAAAAATTTTAAATTTGAATATGAAATTTTTTTTTTTTAATTCGCGAAGGAGCAGTACTATTATCATCATCATTATCATTGACGCAACAGCCCCAACGTGGGCCAAGGCAGTCTGCCCGCTGGTAGGTTTTGAAACGTCTTCTTTTTTACGGAGTAGGTTTGTGAGCCCTACAGCCAAAGCTCTACAGTCATATTAAACTGAGACCTACCGATTAAAGTGGATACCGAATCGCTACAATCATCCATGCCACGGCATGGACTCGGACCTGAAACCTGTTGTACCGAGCGCTATTCAGTCCTCAACATTAATATAAACGTTAAAAATGTTTAGCACTCATTGCAGTATAATAAACTGAATTTCATTTATTACTCTTAATCTTTAGTTTCAAAATAATTTAAGTCATGATTTTCTATAAATGCATTATTCGGATTTTGGGTGCAATATAATACCACTACCCACATATAAATAACTTATTCAAAAGATTGTCCTTTTCTTCTTTTTAGATTTTCTTAAATCTTTTTAATTTGCATTTTTTTCACCCCTTTTTCATTTTCGAAGCCTTTTCTTCAGAAAAAGCGTCTCGGATTCTTTCCTTGAGACATAACAGCGGCCTCTCCATGAGTCCCAAACAGCCCTGAAAAGAGAACCCGCATGAATCTTAACATTGAAGTCACATTGATTCTCCTAACAAATGCGCGCCATTTCTCAGCCGAAATCCTTTTTCGGATTTGATTAGAGATCTGCATTTTCTTGGGGAAGGGCGACGAAGAAGTTGCGGGCGTCGCTGATTGATTATTGCGGAAGAGAAATGGTTTTTCATTTTCGGAAGAAAGTCGGGGATCTTTTAACTTCATAGAGGAGAGATTCTTTTCTTAGATGTCACGTCAATTTGAAAAATTTCAATTTATTCGTATTTGAAATTTTTTTCTACCTAGGTCTTTTTTAGTTACAAGGCACCACCACTACCATCTTCAAACTAGAAATTCATAAGGTGGCCAGTTTCAATTTCAACATTTCCTTGTTCAGTGTTTCCTATTTTTGCTTTGTCAAGTTTATTAGTTACAGTTAACCCTCGTTAAAAATGCTACCTTATACCTTTTTTATGAAGGGACCTGAATGGCCGAGTGGCTAGCGCTCTGGCGCTCGGTACCACAGGTCCCGGCGGTGCCATGGATGTTTGTAGTGGTTCGAAATTCACTTTAAACCGTAGGTCCCGGTCTAATAAGATCGTAGAGAGTTGCGGTACCTACAGTTTATCGGGGATTCCGAACCACTCACAAACATCCATGTCACCATCAGGATTCGAACCACCAGTCTGTGGCACCAAAGGCCAGAGCGCTAGCCAATTGACCCTAAGGCATATAGAAGTTGGTGAGGGGAGTAGTTTCAATTCCTTCATTTCATTTTTTTCACATTTCAAAATTTCAATAGACGTGTTTTACTCCTCGTGTAACCACCCAAATGATAAACTACCACCTTAAGATTAAAAAATTTGATAAGTGGGCGTTCTAATTTTAAATTTTTATTTTTCAGTGTTTTCCATTTTTTGGTTGTCAAGTTTATTAGATACAGCTAACCCGCAATTAAAGCATTACCTGATGTCTTTTCATGACTCATATGGAAGTTGATAAAGGGAGTAGTTTCAATTCTACAATTAAAAATCTTGGTACTTACGTATTAACGGTACCTTGGTTTCAGTTGCGCCAATAAAGAGCAATCTTGTTGTTCGCACGCGCACGCAGTTATCTTTTGAACGCCAACCGCAGCCACAGATTTGGCGGTTGTTAAAATTCTGCTTCCCTCAAACCAGTTGTCTTTTCTAAGTGCCACATGATAAGCACACTGACTGAAATTGCATTTCCAAAACTTACGTTTACCAAAATAAAGTTTCATGTCATGGGAATTGGGACATTTTCGTTTTTTGGTAAAATATTTCGCTCCTGAAAAATAAAAATTGCATCTTGTTCTGTTTCTGGCAAATCCCAAATACGCATTTTCGTAGCACTAAAAATGGCGTCAAAAATCAGCAAGTCTGTAGCTGCTAGATTGGCGCCACTTAAAAACCGCCAAATCTGTAGCTGTTAGATTGGCGCCACTTAAAATCGCCAAATCTGTAGCTGTTAGATTGGCGACACTTAAAACCGTCAAATCTGTAGCCAAGGTAGCGTTAATACGAACCAAATAAAATTGCAAATAAATTGCAATAGAATAATAAGTACCAAAATCCTTTCCAATCAAAGATTTTAAAAACAATAGGCCATCGTTTCATACGTTACTATCTCTCTCTCTCTCTCTCTCGCAGTTTATATGTAATCGGTTCTGGATTAGAAAGTTTTATTTTCATGTTAATAATGTCAAAACTATACATAGTTAAAGTAGACTTACACAATATTAGACATACAGCAAGCTATATAACGACGAATGTGAATTTGCCCAAAAATCCGGCTCGTGGGTTCAGTTCCCACTGTTATATATCAGGATCCACACGGGTTGCGCGAATGATGAAATCAGCATTTTAATGATCTAGGTGAAATTTTATCAAATATAACAATAAAAACCACAATGAAGTAAAATTTAAAGTGTGCGTGACTTATATCCAGCGAAGGGGAAAGCAAAATTAGAGGAAATGTATTGCAGAAGGTATAGGAACTCAAGACAAATATCAGAAACCCCAAAAGTTCTACGTACATAGTTCTACGCAAGTCTGAGTAAAATTCTAGGGTACTGAGTAGGTCCAGTGACCTGTATATGAGTAAAAGTTCAGGGGACAATATCTAGAGGGCACGACCCTTTACACGTCACTCGTATTTGGCGTGATTGAGCCAACGGATGTAATTGATGGAGAGTATTATAACTGTACAACAGCCAACGGCCATACTATGCTGAATATACCGGTTCTCGTTAGATCACCAAAGTCAAGTCAGTCGGAGGGTGAGGAATGAGGTACCAATGCCTTAAAGGCTTACAACCTCAGGTACTAAGATAAAAGGTGTGGCAGATATTAAAGAGATAACGTGAGCATAATACCAATGTGAGGGAAATGACTTGAAAACGGATTAAGAACCGGCACACGCAGCATGGTACCCGTAGATTTTGATGCAAAAGTCGCCAACTATGAGTGCAGGAAGGTATGTTTAACTTTATTGAGAAAAACACAAATACAAATACAGACAAAAAGAGATCTCACGCAGTGATTGGGATATAGCAGAACAATAATAATATATAATAATAATAATAATATGCAAACAAAAAGTAAAGACAAAACAAAGTACAGTAGGGTTAAATATGATACAAAAATAAAATAAAAGTGAGGTGAGTTGCAAATCTGTAGGCAATAGGAGTGTAGTAGTAGTAGTGTATAGTAGTGGCTGAAGTTCAACTGGAGATTTGCATGAGATTAATAAGGCAGGATGAAGTAGAGGGTGTAGGGCTGTAGGGTTAATACGGCTGTGGCTGGTACATAGGTGGATGACAGGGTTATTGGGTGAGTGAGGTTGAAGAAAGTGCTGTGCGATGAGGTTGAAGGTAGCTTTGTGGTTATTGTAGGGTGAGTGGTGAGAGATGAAGTTGAAAATCCAGATATGATCAGTGGATGTAAGTAGGGAATGTGATGTCAGAACATATTGATGATGGATATTGAAGGATCTTAGTAGATGAGGCAGTGTGTTGTGAACAGAAAGATGAATATTGCAAGACTGAGGGTGATCATGGTAACAGACAAAATATGGGGGGGGAGAAGGAAATGCAATAAAATAAAATAAAATAAACAGTTAAGATGCTAGAATTTGAATAAAATAATGTGGGGAAAAAGAGCATAATACCAATAAATAGTTAGGGGGTGGTAGTAAATAAGTACACAAAGTAAATCAGGATAAACAATGAACAAAATGCATAATTACTAAAGTCACCGAAGTCAAGCATCATTGGGCGCGGTCAGTACTTGGGGGGTGACCACCTGGGAACACCGCGTGCCGTTGGCATTCACAAATTTGGGACCTGAATGGCCGAGTGTTTAGCGCTCTGGCGCTCGGTGCCACAGGTTTTGGGTTCGAATCCCGGCGGAGCCATGGATGTTTGCAGTGGTTTGGAATCCACTTTAAGCCGTAGGTCCCGGTCTCCTATGACTGTAAGAGCGTCACGGAGCCAAAGTCAGACTTCTACCTAAGGGTGCTCCATCACAACAGAAGCTGCTTCCTTCCCCTTCAATCATGAGTACGTATGGGCTCTTGGGCTTTGCCAGCCAAGTGGGATAAGAAACAACAACAACAAACAACAGCCTATGTATGTTAATTTGATGTGGACCAGTGTATATGATGATCTTTCTGTTTCAATAAACAAATACACCATTCACTCACTCATTCATTTCCTTACTTCATCCACTGGCCTTCAAATCTCTATTTAGTTCTCCCTGCAAATCTTTGTCTTCATTTATTGTCCCACTTAAATTAGTATTTCATGTCGAAAATTCATTGCAATGAAAAAATATTTTATGATCAGCAGATGATATGTCAGACTTAAAAAATTGATTGACACTATCAAAGTTATTGTAAAGAAATAAGGTAGAAAATTTTGACAGTGATAGTTTTCACTTTATTTCTTAATTTAACTCTTTTATATTCTTTATAACAAACACGAACAATAAAGAAGACGTTAAAAAAAAAAAAAAAAAAAAAAAAAAAAAAACTGGGAATTCTTGGATAAAAATTAAGATTTCCTTTAGTCAAGTTATGTTATTTAAGGTGAATTGTTTCAAAACTTTTTTTAATTCTGCATAAATGTTTTTTATTAATAAAAACTCTCAAAATTAAAAATGTTTTGATTCATCCTCAGTGTCATATAGCGAGCGACGGAAATCCTATGAGTAGCCTATTCATGGATGAAGGGAAATGGACAGCTTCTGTTGTGATGGAGTACCTGTATGTAGTACCTGTAGTACCGACTTTGCTCCGTGTCCCGAAAAAGGAGGGCAGTACCTTCCAGGAGGACATTTAGGGGGTACTACAATGCAATTGCGTATTTTATACGTTTGGTTTATTTCACTACGGTCATTTTTGTACACTCTAGGCTAATTAGACCGGACCTACATTTAACATGGATTCCGAACCACTGACAAACATATATGCCCTCGCGGGGGATTTGAACCTGAATCCTGTGACCAAAGAAGTAGCCAATTGGCCATCAGGCTGCTCAGATTTTGGCTTAGCTTAATTGAAAGTACGTCAAAATCTGAGTTTTCTAGAAATATTCAAATAATAGCTTGAATGTTATTGAAATAACTGCTCAACTGGGCTTTTAAAATTTAATCAAGAATACTTCGGTGCCACAAGGGCACCGTATCGTATGGGAGAAAACCCGGAAAATTCCCATCAGACACTCTGACTAACGAGCCAAGATGTTGTATAATACATCCCAAACGCCATTGGGTCTCCTCGGTTTTGCAAAACACTAACTACAACAATGCTCCCAGCGTATTGAACATCAACTGTAATGCTCACCAGCTCTGCACGTTGCCACTGAACCACTAGTCGGGCATCTAAAAATATTTTAATTACTATAACAGTGCAACGGTGTTCACAACTGCTAGCAGCATTTATATTTTAAAGTATTTTAATTATTAGCAACCACAAAGTTCCGAACTAGAGTGCCCTTAAATTATAAATTCATCAGGAACACATAGAGAGAAGATAAATAATGGTTTGTTAGAAAAGTAGAAAATAAATGTCGAAATCTTCTACCACCTCTATTAAAAATGCAAGAAAGCCTTTTGTTGTTTTGGAACTATACGAACAGCTGCAATATTCTGGTTATTCATATGGATTTTTAATACCAACCCTATTTTTGCTATACAAAATTTTGTTAGCCGGAAAGTTTAAAAGTTTCCTTTTAGTTTATCCATATTCAAGTGATTCCTTTGAAATTCGATATGAGTTTTGCTAGTGCAATTTCCAAGTATACAAAATAACCTCGGAAGCAGACAGAAGTTTATTTTCAACAAATATATAGTTCGAAATAATTTTTAGAAGATGAATTATTAATGAAACTTATATGTCGAATTCACTGTAAAAAAAAAAAAAATAAATAAATGCAATCCAGGTTTTCAAGAAATTTTAAGAGTAAAAATAAATTATGAAAATAAAATATAAAAATATAAAAAAAAATGAAAAATAAATATAATATATATATATTACAGCAGTTAAAAGAAAATGCCAAAAATATTTAAAAATAAGATGTTCTAAAAGTAGTAAAATAGAATATTTTATCATGTACCTGAAATTTTTATTTTGACATTACATTAAAAATATCAAAAATATTTCTGACTGCATACGACTCGAAATAATTATTATCATCAATAATATCAAGAGGGATGTTAAAATTATATCAAGAGGGGTGCTTAAGGAGGGCTTGGCTCTCATCAGAAACTAAAATCTCATGTTTTAGAACGTTGTAACGCCTCGACCTATACTAGATCTATAACGGCTTCAAGAAAAGGGCCACTTTCAGGATCATGGGAACACTTTAATTTTTATTTTCAAGCTTTATATATGTATACATACAGAACTCTGGGTTAATACAAATTAGTATTTACAAAAAAAAAAAAAAAAAAAAAAAAAAAAAATGAAAATCAAAGATTTAAATTTGATTCAGAAGTGCAGTTTACCACAAGGACGGTGGTTTTCAGAGTTTTCATTTCTACGTGGTCTGCGGCAGACTTTAATTATTATATAGCTTTAATTATTACATTTCCTTCTTATTGGAGTAGACACTTTCTCAGCCCATGGTCTATCCCCAATCACGATGCAACAACTCATCATGTAGTCCATATCCCGTCAGTAATTGTTTCAACATGTGAATATTTAAGAGACAGATTGTTCTCATTAGTAATAAGCACTAAATGCATGTAGTGTAAAAATTCCACAACACTGCTTATCTGCTGTTCAAAATTAAATGATAGGTAGTTATTATATACTTGTTAAAAATATACATTCCTTTCTCTCTACTAGGAACAAAATGCTATATCTGTTCACGTGAGAAAAATGCTACAATCACCAGTCAATCGAAAGTCTAATGTCTTGTTTATTAATCAGTTATATGTGTAATATAAATAGAATTACCTCTTCAAGTTATATTTCTACTGAAAATTATAATTTATCAATTAGCCATTCTTATATTAATGATAATTAGCTGTTAGTATTTATTTATTATAATCTATTAGCTTCAAATACTAAATTGATTTTCATTTTGTAAATGAAACTTGAAATAAAACTAATTTTTACTATATTATTTATAAAATACACAGTATCATTATTTGTTACATTTTATTGACTATATTTTTTTTTATTTAGTATAATACTTTTATTTAAGTTTTCTTAACGAAAGAACATGTTGAGTAAAAAGGGTAACTTTAATTTTGACTAAATTTATTTTTGAAACAATTTTTTATGTATAAAAATGTTCCAAAACTATTTTTAATTCTTTTTCTTTCAGCCGTAGAGCATTTATTAATGGATTTTGACTAAGATAAAAGAAAGATTGGTATTCGAGATAATCTTTCAGGATATTATCACAGTTACAAAAAAAAAAAAGGAAACGCCTTTTATGAGACTATTAATTAAATATCGTTATCAAGTGATCAGCCGATGAAAATAGCAAAGGGCAAACTATTAAACTTTTATTTTCCCCTCGCTATTTAAAACTTTTACTGGTTAGCGCTATCAATTTTCTCTTACAACAGTTTTTTTATTACTTACTAAAATTAACAGTTTTTTTTTTATAGGGTGAAAGTTTTGAAAATTTGATGTAGTTTTCTTTCTAACGTCACTGACAGCAAAACATTTTTAAAGTGAAAAAAAAAAAGTTATAAAATTGTAACAAAATTAGCCATTCGTAAAACATTTTAAAACATTTATTTCTATACGAACATTGATTAATGTTTTACATTCTGATTAATTACAAACGTTTTTATTGTGTATTATCTGCAGTTTTAAATGAAAGTTTCATTTTAATCAATAATACATTATAATTGCGATGATGTGTGATTCAGTTAAAAACTGTGCTTCTGATAATAACATAATTTACCATCACTTTTTTACCGTTCTGATGTAACATAATTTACCTTTAATTAATTTACCTTTCTAACGTAATAAAATCTTGCTCACCCACTCAGTTATTTGTGCAGTACTCAATTATTCTCTTAAAGATATATTGCTACTGAGAATTATACTTTACTAATTAGCCATTCTCATATTATGATAATTTGCAATAAGTATTTATTTATTATAGACAACAATAAATGAATACTTATAAATTATTATGAATGAATTATTATCTTATCAATGAATTAGTTACAATCACTAAACTGAATTACATTTTGAAAATTGATTCGAAATTATGAAAGCACTGAATTGAATGGTCATCCATAAAATTCAACCACAAATTCAGTGTCAATCAATAAATTCAACCACAAATTGAATACCAACCACTAAATTCCAGCATTAAATTGAATTTCATTTTGAAAATCCATTTGAAATTATGAACCACTAAATTCAATATAAACCACTAAATTCAACCACAGATTGAAAGCCAACCATAAAAATCCCACCACTAAATTGAATTTCATTTTGTAAAAAATTTTGAAATCAAATAATTTTTTATTCAACATATATATATCTTTATTTATTATGCTACTTTTATTTGAATTTCCTTAAATAAATAACATGTTGTTTAAAAAGGATAACTTTGATTTTGATTTTAATACTTGGGTATTACGCTTCAAAATCCAGTTCTTTTTTTATTACGTTGAAACAATTTTTTTTATGTACAAAATTGTTCCAGAACTATTTTTAATACTTTTTTTTTAAGTCCTAGAACTTTTATTAATGGTTTTGACTAAGATAGAAGAAAGAATGGTGTTCGAGATAATCATTCGGATATTATCATGGCTTCAAAAAAAGGAAACGCCTTTTATGAGACTATTAA